ACATCCTCTCCAGCATAAGGTGTCTTCAGTGTTTTTGATCTTAGCCATTCTGACAGGTGTAAGGTGGTATCTCAGAGTTGTTTTGATTTGCATTTCCATGATGATTAGGGATGTTGAGCAATTCCTTAAATGTCTTTCAGCCATTTGAGCTTCCTCTGTTGAGAATTCTCTGTTTAGTTTTATAGCCCATTTCTTAATTGGACTGTTGGTCATTTTGATGTCTAATTTCTTGAGTTCCTTATATATTCTGGATATCAGTCCTCTGTCAGATGTGGGATTGGTGAAGACCTTTCCTCATTCTGTAGGCTGTCGCTTTGCTTTATTGACCATATCCTTTGCTCTACAAAAGCTTCTCAGTTTCAAGAGGTCCCATTGATTGATTGTTTCTCTCAGTGTCTGTGCTACTAGTGTTATATTTAGGAAGTGATCTCCTATGCCAATGCGTTCAAGACTACTTCCTACTTTCTCTTCTAGCAGGTTCAGAGTAGCTGGATTTATGTTGAGGTCCTTGATCCATAAAAAGTGTAAAATTTATTTTTATAATAGAGGAAATAAATCAATGAATACACCTGACATTGGCCATGAGACTATTTCAACTTGAAAACAGATATTTATATGTTTTATATTTCTGGTAGGGTCCCTGGGAGATACTTAATAAACATTCAGCAGGAGAGTAACCAGGGATCATGCTACAGAGGTGGTGCTTCAAAGAGTTTAGGGGCAGGTGGGGAAAGACTCAGATTAAAGATGAGTATTTGATCACAAAGCAAGTCTCTGCCTTCATAGATGGGGAAACTAGGAAGAGAAGCAGCAGATCACCATAAAGTCAGGAGACTGATGCCTTCTGGCAGAGGGAGGCATTGAGAGCAAAGCAGGGGACATGGGTGCTTTCTAGGATCAGGGGCATTTTCCTACTGCTTCATCATGGCCATTGCGTAGATGCACATTTTCATACAGCTCAGGTCCCACAATATAATGTGAGTGCAGGCTTCCCACTGCTGCTCATTGTTTTTACTCCACAGTCTCACAGCTGGGGACCCTGGGAGTTTAAAGACGAGGATTGAAGGGATGAGGAGAATCGTTCATTTATCAACAACTTAGGACAACTTTTTCTGTTAGGTGCCTAAGAGTTTGGACGCGCCTGAGTAGAAAGAAGCATTTCCTGGCAACACTTCTGCATCTATTTTTGTTTCTCTCATTTCTCTCCCCTTAAACTTAAGCTACCTAGGGATTAGCCAATCAATTAGAACATGCTTTAATTAATGGCATTGTTCAAACTGGTCTATCCTCATTCAAGCCCCCAAAGGCAATCTCATGAATGAAATGCAGGCTGGAGGTTTAGGATTGCAGTCTTCTTGTCAGTCAAACCCAAATCTTTCAGGCATGGACGCTTTGAGGAAACGGTGTGAAGATAGGCTTTCACGGCTGGGTTGAGCCCCAGGGATCGCTGGTCCAGCAGCAGCAAACGCAAATGCCTATAGACAGAATCTCTTAACAGAACTCCGGGAAGTAGGTAGGCTGAGGAGCAGGGTTATTTAGGCAGCTTGAAGGGAACTCTCTCAGAATAAGCACTGCCTTGTTGCTTTGCTCTTCATAGTTCTGTGTAGAACTTCTGATTAGGCATGGTAGATTAAACTCATACTTTTTTTTCCCTTCTTTCTGCAACCATAGTAAAATGAGAGTAGGACATTTTTTTTCCAAACTATGGACCCTTAAGGATAAACAGGAGATGACAGCAGACAGAGGACATCCATCAGTGAAACCTTGGAAGATGGAAGTGATGACTTGACAGTAATGGGGAGAAAGATGAAACCTAAGCAGGCAAAAAAAAAAAAAAAAAGGTTGTCATCAAGAAGCAAACTAAATCGCACCCTAAATCACAGAAGAGCTCTGCATATAGAGGAATAAGATTACTCTAGTGGCTGACATGAGGACATTGAGCCGAAAACTGGGAGGGCCGAAATAAGTTAAGCAGCCCATGTGGCACCTCTCCCTGTTTTGTCAAAGACTGCAAGTCTTGTCAACAGTACAAAAGGACTAAACTGACCCTTCTCCAGCACACTGTACTGATCAGGAAACACTGGATGAAGCAGGGATCTTACACAGAGGTTTCACATGACTTTCTTGTAAACATATAATTGAGAGCTAATGATTAGAGTCATTATTATAAATGGTATGGTTTTAAAATTTCACATTCTGATTGTGGATATTAACAATTGACCATGGACCCAATGGGCTGGCCATGTTAATCTGATCATTAAGATCCCACAGCTGTGCAACCCCTGAACTTCCTAGATACCTAGACATACTTCCTGCCAAGAGTGAGTATTATTTCTTCCTTTTAACTCATTAACCTTCATTTCTTCTTGAGCTAATTCCCTAGCTAGAACTTCAGATACAATGTCAAAATAAATGGCAATGGAAGAACATCATTATCTCTTTTCTGATCTTTTCAAGAAAACATATAAAATTCCACCACTGTTATCATTCTTTTAATAAATTCCTATCATCAGAACAAGGAAATTTCCTTGTATTGCTGTTTAGCCAAGAAAGTTTTGAAATGACTAATGAAAGGTGAGTTTTATCAAATGTTTTACATGATCTACCAAATAGATTGTGATTATTCTCCATTATGAATTTGGTAAATTGCCACTGGCCGAGTTTTTAATGGTAAATGCTCCTTGATTTCCTACATAAATCCACCTTGTTCCTGATATCTTTTCTCTGTATTACTAGGGCAGTTTACTAAATTGTGATTTAAACCATATATTATTATCCACAAGAGATAGTAGCTAAACTTCCTTGAATAGACCTTGAGAGATTTGGGTGTATTACTCAAAATTTCTGACCTTCCATTTTCATGTTGGTAAAATGAAAACAATGTCCCACAAAGCTTTGGATTGTGATAAGGATTAACATTTCCTGGCACACAATGAGTACCCAACAAACATTTATTGGAACATGAAAATTGACTCCCTTTCTAATCAGCTAGAACTTTAAAATAAAGCCGATACAAAACATCCTCAGGAAAAATGAATAGAAGAGAGACTTCATTTCCAAAATCAACAAGTAATACTTGTCACGCAACACTAATTCATAGAGCCCAGCTCTGCTCAGGCCTCCCTTAGTGCTGAGAACCCAGTGATTGCCATCTCGAGAGCAGGAATTCCAGAAGGAGATGGCTAAGAGCCTCTCCCAAGACACCTGCCCATTCAGTCCCTAACAGTAACTTTTAATTCTACCACCGGTATAAATGACTGGTGAAAATCAACCTGCACAGGGAGCTGGGGGGCATATTTCAATGGTTTGTGACCTGGCTTAAGCGTTCTGACCAGGTTTGCATTTTCCTCATTTATCAAAAAAAACAAAAAACAGTGAACCTAGAGGGATGGCTCAGAGGTTAAGAGCCATGGCTACTCTTCCAAAGGACCTGGGTTCTGTTCCCAGCACTCCACCTGGAAGTCTGTAACTCCAGTTCCAGAGAACCCAACACCCTCTTCTGGTCTCTGAGGGCACTGCCATCATGTGGAACATGGACTTAACATGCAGGCCAAAGACTCTTACATACAAAATAAAAATAAACGAGCCTTGAAAACAATGGCAGCAGTAATGTTATGTCATCATACTGTTATGAGAATGAAACATAAAAGTTTAAAAAAAACTGAATCCAGCTACCTGCAAATATAAAGCATGATTACATTATTATTATTATTATTATTATTATTATTATTATTATTATTATTATCAACAATATGCTGTGCTTCCTATTGGTTACATAAGTAAATACTAAATAAGCCTGTGAGGCATGAGCATCTGTAAGGCACATGACTATTAAGCAGATTGCTGGAGACCTACAGCCAGGACATGGAGCATCAATATCTAAAGCCAGGCACTCTGTTCCTCAACCTCTAAGTCATACAAAGGAAAATGCTGATCTCCCACGCAAAGCAAAGATTGACAGTATGGTGTTAAGACTCAGCATCTTTTGACACAAGAACATCTATTAAAGGGAAGCTGGGGGGAAACTTTCCTTTCATGATTATCCCTTTTGAGAATCTTCTGTTTTCTCATTCATAAGAAAACACAAACAAAACAAAACAAATAAACAAAAAGCCTGCCCCAGGCAATGCCTTCCCTCGTAAAGCTCTAGCTAATCAAAGGTTTCCTTGGCCAGCTGCCCCAACTGTGCAACTGGAAGACATTAAGACTTTGGGGAACTCACAGTTCTCCTGCTAATGTAATATGAAATTGTTCTAACATTTCATTGACTCGGAGATTGCTCTCTGTCCGGCAGTAGCTTCCGCCTCTGGATGTTCTTTCCTGGGTCTCTCTTGTCTCATTGTAGAATCTGCAAATAGCCACGGGCCTTCTCGTGGGTGTCTTCTCTTCTCAGGTGATGTGGTGGGTAACTCACCTTAGAGACGGACACTGACGTTGGGAAGACTCCAGCCCTAGGGTGCGAGGGCCACCGCTCTTCAGAGCATTGGGCACACTGGTCAATGAAGTTCATCAGAGCCACCTCCTTCTCTGGTTGGGACTCAGGTAGGGTAGGATGACCCTGGGGAATTCCTGTGGCTCTGTTCGCAGTAAGACGTGGCAGTCGTGGTCCATCCAGCTGGGCGGTGTGAAAACAGCACTGCCTGAGCCACAGAAGCCTGAGCCCTGTCCCCTCCAGAGATCCAAGAAGGTGTGCCTCAGCCGGGCGGTGGTGGCGCACGCCTTTAATCCCAGCACTCGGGAGGCAGAGCCAGGCGGATCTCTGTGAGTTCGAGGCCAGCCTGGGCTACCAAGTGAGTCCCAGGAAAGGCGCAAAGCTACACAGAGAAACCCTGTCTCAAAAAAAAAAAAAAAAGAAGGTGTGCCTCTCCTGTTGTTTCCATTGTTTAGGGTCTCTTTCCCTCTTGGCTTTCTCTCAGCCGACATCCCTTCTAAGTTTTTTGGTTAAAAAACAAAACAAAAAGAGCTAAAGCCAGACGTGATGGTAAGAGTTTGTGACCTCAGCACAAGGGAGATGGATGAGGGTTGATCTCTCGGGCTTACTGACCAGCCAATCTAGCTTACAAGAAGGGCCCCAGTCCATTGAGCAATCCTGTCTCAAAAACAAACAAATAAATAAGTAAATAAATGTGTGATGCTACCAGAAGAAGGACATCTAAGGATGTTTTCTGGCCGGTACACACACATCCACACCCCACAGACACAGGAGCACACACACATCCACACCCCACAGACACAGGAGCATACACACTTCCACACCCCACAGACACAGGAGCACACACACACTTCCACACTCCACAGACACAGGAGCACACACACGTCCACACCCCACAGACATAGGAGCACACACACACACATCCACACCCCACAGACACAGGAGCACACACACACTTCCACACTCCACAGACACAGGAGCACACACACATCCACACCCCACAGACA